CCGCCGCCGCCGGCCCGGCTGTCGCGGGCTAAAGGCTCTCGCCCGGATTTCGGGCCGCGTTGTCAGCCTCGCATAGGCAGAACTGATTAGTCAGCGTTCCCCTCCCCCCAGCGCGGGATCGACTTCCGGCGACCGACCAGCGCGGGGCTCGCCTGCCCCAGCAGCCGGCGCTGGGCCCGCGGGTGTACCTGCCTCAAACCCACGGCAGCCGCGAAACGCCATTTTCAAAGCGTCAGGATTCCCGTTATCGCTTCCCCACAGGGACAAGCCAGCACAAGGCGACCGTGACAGGCCCGAGACCGCAGCTGCGCCCAGCCGAGACCGGCAGCTACAGGTGCACCAGGCGGCACTGTGCATGTGCTGCTGCTTCCACGTGAACGGGGTCTGTGTGGAAAAGCCGCACACCCGATTCTAAATTTAAGCCCACGAAGTTAAGCCTCCAACGTGGCAGTATTACTGCACTGTTAGGGCTATCTAACATAAATGTGTCTGTTCAGAACAATGTATTTTCACATACAATTTACACATGACATAAGAAATGCTCTTCTGATTTAATTTTTAAAACCTTCCATGCTGACAGGAACTAACTGAGGGAGCCTGGCCATGTAATGTGTTTTGCTAATATTATCTCATTAACCACAAATCACTCAATTCACCAATTTCTATTCAATTTCAAAGCTCTACTTGCTTTGCAAACACCTGATCACAATTGGTTTTCAATGTGAGGATGGCAACAGAGATCTGGGGTGCTGCTGGGGACATTTGCATTTCACCCCCCTCATCACTGCTCCTTCCATAGCCAAAGCCACAGCTTGTGTGGTGGTGGGTCAAACTCTGTTCATCACTCAAGAGGTGATGAAAAATATGCAAGTATGCACTGAAACATTAAAAAAAAATGAGAATAGCACTGTCTCAAAAAGAATCCAATTACATTGTAAAGTGGTGCCTTTAGAAGTAATGTTCCTCTTTGGGTTATTATTACATTTTACCATTTCTAATTAATAAGGGGGGTAGAGTGTAACATGTTTGTTACTTCCCCAAGGCATGAATTGGATTGATTTTTGGTGTGATACAAAGTTGGCCAGACAGTAAGCGTGACACAGTTAAAATTAATTAGGCATATGGGAAAAGTATTCCTAGGCAACCCTTACTGAAAGTGAGGAGTGATAAATTAACAAACCTATACTCTCCAACTGAAATGGGAGTGTAGATTTTGATGAGTCTTCAAAAAAAATCAGAAGACTTCTCTTGTGTAAACAGTTGTCAAAACTAGATTTAAGCAGTACTGCCAACCCTTTAAAGATCACAAATAATTTACTAAAATAACTATATTAAAAGTCTTTAGTGTTTCTGTGTTATTTCAGATCCAGATTGATAGCCTCTGCTCACATCTGTTGACTTTACCTTACCAACAGGAGAATGAAAAGTTTACACTAATGTGAGAAAGGAAGTTTAAATTCTCAAATCATTGGTCTCAGGATCCTGACACTTTAAGACAATCTCTGCTATATGCTGGTATCACTTTTTAGTATGCTGTTTTTTCAAGGAAGCAAAGCTCATTCTTGAAGGTATACTCCTACTAGGAATTAAATGCTTCAAGTTATCATTATCAAACCAGACAACTTTTAACCCTTGGTGATAAATGTGAATTCTCATTTAGCAGATGTTCCATATTATCTCAATTTAACGATTGTTTGACAACTACTTACCATTTAGAGAGGAATGTGATTCCAGATCCATCTTTTCACTACAGATGCACTAGTCAAGTCTGCACGAGAGCAGCTGTGTTTGATGGAGAACCCAATTTCTCCTCCCCAGTTTAGACACCTAAACCAAAAATTTAATAAAGAATCTGGCAGTTAAATCCAAAATTACAATCTCCAAATACTATGTACATAGTCGACCCCTTTAGACAACGCCTAAAATTATGCTTAGTGTTCCAGCCCAAATACCAGAAGCTCTATCAGTTACTTCAATCCTCCCAAACTAAACAGCAGAAAACCTGAGACGCTATGCTAGCAAAACACATCCTAAACACCCAGTGACTGGATAAGAACTTCCACCAAACACAGTTATGACCACTTACAAGCATCCACTAGAGGAGGTACCTGTTTTGTCTTAAGCGTGTTATCTTATAGACTAAACTTTAATTAAGAAGCAACACTGCACACAGCAGCAGTGCCTGGTGCTGAGAACAAACGGCTACTTTGTCTCCATTCAGACCACAAGTGCTTTTACATGTTTTTTTTTCTTTTTATGCCGAAAACATATTTCTAACTAGAAAAATAGAGAGGGCTGGTTCTGTCATTTAAAACTGAATATGTTTTTAATAATTGCAATTATGCTGATCGCTATCATACTGACTAGGCATGTCATTGCACTAGTCAATGGTTACTGAGTCGAAAACATAAAGCACATATATTATTAGCACATAAGCTGTAACTCTAAACAGAACCTTTCCCACGAATTCATTTAAAAGCACAGTAGTCTCCCGAACATCTACTAGCGGAATAACCTATTAATTGCTCTGAGACTCATGTTTTCAGTGCTTAACTTCACCGGTAGTCATAATCAACGAGTGGTGAGACTGGAAGCTGTGTGACATCTCTGACAATTTTGCATAAGCAATTATACAGATGTCCATCAATTAAACAAAGTCATACATAGAAACTACAGAGCCTGTGAAACAAGGCAAGATATAAAGGCAATAGGCAACCTAGCAAGTTGTCCTTTGTAAGCTGTCTCTTTAATAGCACGTTCTCTTTACGGATTCATACATTACTTATACAGTTGCTAGAGTTCCTCTTGTGCTATCCCCTTGTATTATATCTACCACTCTGTCCAACACTCACACCAGATCACTGCTTTACTACGCATTTCAAGAAATAACGACAGTAATAAAGAAGATACCACCTATATGCTGTGGCGCTTCCCCACGCTGAACAGCCACGACTCGAGAAGTCTCTTCAAGCCAGCCGCCTCGACCTTCGCCTCCTCGCCCCGGTCACTAGCGGCCCGCAACGGCTGCGATGACTTCAGCCCCGGAGGCGATGCCTCCGCTTCCCTCGGGAAGGCCCTCGCCGGCGCCGCGGCTCCGGGCAGGGCGCAAGAGGTTTTCACT